AGGCGAGCATAATTAGGGCGTTGTTGGGTGCAATAACATTGAATAACTCAACTTTCCCATATATTCAACTCTCCCGAAACAACATTTGATAGCTGGATAGTTTCTCACACCGATTTGATCAAAAGCAACAATGGATTCAAGCAGTTCGAGGAAACAAATGAGTTAACAAAGTGCTCGTTAAATAATCAACACATTAAATAGATATATACTATGAGATGAGAAAATATTGTAATTTGCAATGTTAATGGTATACCTTTATAATCAACTAATGATTACATTTTTTATGAACATCTTCTAAAATTATAATAATTATGTACCGTTAAAAAATTTCGTTATAGCCGAATATGCTTCACTAACAAAACCGGTGATTAAAACTATGCTCGCTACCGTAGTTTAATCCATCTAAAAAGTTTTTTTAAGTGGAATAATCAATTATTATATAAGTTAGACTTTTAGAATGTATCATAATATTTACTTTTTTATTTTTATTTTTGGAATTTTCACATATTCTACTTTCTAATACTTTTAGAATAATTCGCAGTTACCGGTGTATTCATATAATATACTAATTGTTTACGATATTTTTCGATGGTAGCAGCACCGGCGAGGCGAAGAATGTACCAAGCCTATTAAAAATTATTTTTTAATTTATTATTATTTAAACACGTGTATTTGTATATACCGATTGTTTACGATTTTCTCGATGGTGGCAGCACTGACGGAGAATGCACAAAACTTACAAATGAAACTGATGGCCTTGTTTGGCTATTTCATATGACATTTCGCTACCATTGTGATCTCCGTGCCCTGGTACTCAGTCTGATGTAACATTGCTACGCTCACCGTTTGTGCCATAAACTTTGGTACAGCTGACGTCAAAGATGGCTTTTATAAAGAGACTCTATTATGATTATAACCCAAGAAAAGAAAAACACCATATAAAAATCTATGGTAGGTATCTAGGTCTTCTAAACAACTTCTCACTTCTAAACATTCTACATTCTACATAGCTACGCTCACACAATGTGTTTATAGCATGCACATAATCACACACTAATCTACACTTGACACTTGTGGAACCGAGTGCCTTTAGAAAAATAATAGTTTAGTGTCCAACAGGTTACTAACCCAAATAAAGGTATGCTACTGTCTCGAGATTTAGTTAATATCATATCTGACTTTAAGGTTAATAATATTTGATACTATTTTTTGATATAAATAGTTAAATTATATCATACCTACATATAAATATTTTAAAATAAATTTTACTGAAATATTTTTACCATAATATATTGACTAAAAGCTAATTTAGAAATCTGAAACTTCCTTTACGCAACATTCAATTTTAAAAGTTGGAAATCGATTTTGGTTAAATTAAAATACCTAAAATTTTTACCACCCCGAAAATTTTTCGATATTTTACGAATAAATACGAAATAGTTTATTCTGTGCCATTAATAATAAAATTTTTCAATTTCCCCAAAAACCGGAAGTGGTATGACGCATACGAGTTTGCTTTTCCCGACCAATATGTTTGCTCTACCAATATTCGTTTTTATTAAATATTTGATGAATTCGTTTTTATTAAATATTGAACATTTCGTTCAATATCTATAAGGCAAGACAAAAATCACAAGGAGACGAAAAGATTATAAAACAAATGTAATTGGAAAAATACATGGCATCAAAAACATTCCAACAATCTCGCAACACGTGAGATCTCATGTAAAACCAAGTCAGTTTATATTATTTAGTTTTTCTTTAACTACCTATTCAACAATTTTGTTTAATTTGTTAATATCAATTTAAACAAAATTGTAATGTAAAAAATGTAATTAGACATCTTTATTTCTGCAATAATTATAATGACTTGGCAATTTTTCATAAACTATGAGGTATAATTACAAAATATTTTGGTAATCAAGCCAGCTATAGTATGGTCTCATGTTGTGTAAACATCAATATTGCTTGCTTTATCCATAACGAAGATACAGGGTGGTCAAGTATACCTCTAATATCGAAAAGGATGGTACGGCTGTGCTCGACTTAACGGGGTCACGGCAGATAGGTGAAGACAGATATTACTAAATATTCTGTATAACTTTATGACTCCTTTATACGTATACAGGCTGTTCTAAAAATCATTTGTCATCACTCATGGGGAGATTCCTCACGTAAAAATAAGATTTATTTTCTTATATCAACATAGTCCGATTCTGATTTGTATTTCAATTTTTTTATTTGTTTTCTTAAATAAAGTTTAAAATTATATTATATTTAAATTTTCAATTAAAAGTTGTATGTTGATATTTTGTCGACTTCGATCTCCATGAGTTAAATGCAATTTTATTTACCACCATTATTAATAAAATAAAAATAAAAATAAAATTAATAAATTATTTATTTCAAAATCTAATACATCAGAATGCCATTGGTTAGTCTAGCACATTTTTTGCATCATAGTTGAAATGAAGCAGCGCTGTCATTCTAGATGTATATTACATGGACCCTTTTTTCGAGAAATTCATAATATTAAATATGTTTATATCATATTTTGACATATCATCTATGTTTATAAATTGATCTGAATAAAAAAGGCGTCAATTTTTAGTAATTTTACATGCGCATTTGTTAACTTGATGCAGTAATTCTCTTGGTCATGCAACACTGTTTGTCTAACTAGGCACCCCATTATAATTTTTGTATTTCTATGTTGCTAAATAGCAAACGGACCGGCTTCCGGACTAAATTGCTGTTTAATAGAGCAACACCTGTTGATACTCGCCTGAAAAGGTTTTGTAAATTCAAATTCGCAATTCAAATTATTGTTCTGAAAAGTAATAAACTCCTACGTTGCATGTTTGCGCGTTTTCGCCATTGTTATAAGTTATTGTAATAAGCAGAAAAGAAAACCAACTGGATTTTCAGAAAATATATTTACACGAAATTTGCTATCCTTGTAATAATGTTTTGTTTTATTTTCAACTAACTTTAGTTTACCTTACTTATTCTTGATACTATAATGTACGTTATCCATTACGAATTACAAAATTCTACTTTTTAATAGACAGAGGAAAGGAACCAAATATGGAATAGTATTTCTAAAACGGAATACCGCCATTTCTCGAAAACAAATACGCCTAATCAGAAAAGACAGTGATCCTTAATCTCTTTCCATCATTATACTCATGTGCAGGTTTTGATTTGTGAGTCAAACCGACTTTGTAGCCGCAGTGAGAGTGTTTTCTTTCAGGGCTATGAGAGCCAATAATATTGTATATTATACCGTGCATTAATCACATGCTTGTTATAGAGGTATTTTCATGTTTCAATGTGTTTAGTAAAAAGCCTAAATATGGAATAGGAAAAGTTCAATTGATTCAGACGATGAAGAAGAAATAAATTGAGGCCTGACTTTGAAGCCTGACTCAGAAGATGCAGATACATAGATAAAATGCTTCATGTGTGAGGTATGGGCATATGGTGATTGCGGAAGTGCAGAGTTCGACACGTTATTTTCCAAGTTCTTCCAGTAAATTAAGTTACTTTTTAAATTTAACCCAAGTTCCTGTAGTATTACTATTACACGACTTCCAATCAATCGACTGGCTCGTGAAAGATCTGGCCGCTAAGGGTGCCTAAGATAAGGGAATCCAATATGTGATACCAGACCAACTACGGTCACTCGCGGATATTCCCATTGATAGGGCAAATCATGGAAAGTATGGGAACACGAGTGCGGACTTGTGTTCTTCATAATTTTCACCCAAATCTGGTTTTTCCTGGTTTTTTCTACAACCTAACCTAAACGAACTATATGTTCACCCAACATGATTTTGGAGAAAAGATAAGAATTCGCATCCCGACAAGAGAAGAATGGGAAAGTAACTTAGTAATGAACACTCAAGAGATTGCAGTCTACGCAGATACTTTTGTGATTTCACGAGGCAGAGGTATAGGCTTCTTCTCAGAGAAACTAGACATCCGAAGATCTTTAAGGCTATCGGATGGCGGTAATATTCCACAAGTAGAGGTTTACGCTATAAAAGAAGCGGCCAGTTGTATACGAGGGAAAATCGCTGATAGACCAATGGGAGATATCGTGATATTCTCTGACAGTTTGAGCGCTTTAAGACACATCACCATGCAATCATTGAGATTGAAAAGTTTGATGGACTGTCCAGAACACTATCCTGGTTGCGTCAAGGCGGGGTCACTGTGCGCGGGGTGCCAGGGCACAGCAATATAGTGGGCAACTAGGAAGGGGACAGACTCATCAAAGAGAGGTCGTGACAGATTTGTGACGATCAACACGTTGAAGAAAGCTATAGGAACTACCATCATGGCCCAGCAACAAGGAACGTGGCAACACCGTAAGGACTGTACTACAACTGGAACACTGTGGCCAGTATTAGATAGCAAAAGACCTTGTTCGCATAATTGTTCGTGTCGTCACTGGAAACTGCCGACGCGACGGTGCCGGTGGTAAACCTTGTGAAATGGAAAATTTCCAAAGACGACTATTGCCTCTCGGCTATGCGGAGAGGAAGAAGAAACCATAGAGCACCTGCACTGTCCAGCACTAGAAAACTAATGCTTTAAAACTTTAAAACATGGTTTTTTTGGAGGGACTGGAGTCAGGATAGAAAGCCAACATCAGCGATATCGGGAAGTTTGTAAACGGGTGGAGGTGCTTTAACGAATGAATGAGAGGAAGGTTTGGTGTACAACAATACAGGGTTATCGCAATGGGTCTCCGAGTGAGGGATCAGACAGGATCCCAAATCCTTGCAATGATGCTGCAGCATGTGTTGGTGATGCTAACATGATTAGCGAAACGCGCGTTCAGTGTTTAAAAGTAAAAAGTTTTGATGTATTGTCGTGAATTAGTGTTGTATTTTGCTATTGTAATACCAAATACATACTTATTAATATAATGTAACATATATACGGAAAAAATAATGATTATTTAATTTCTTCTATAAAAATAAATACCTACATAAAACTTAGAATCTTTATTAAAAATGTATGTATATCACACATGGTGGTTTATATAAAACACAAAATTTCTAAATTATTAAAGATTGTGATCCTCTTTAATGAAACATTGAACTGCATCTCTCAAGGTGGTCATGATATCGGCCTTCTGCACCAAACATTTTCTCAAAATATTATGTATGTTCTCCATGTTGTGACTGTCGATTACGCCTGCCATGTCGATGTGGAAGGTATCCAATGTAACCTCGCCGTTTTCCGTCATGACGTTGGCCTTTTTGGCAGCACAGAATAAGTGGTGGTAGAAGGAATCGTCCTCGCTGGGATTGCCATCCAGAGCTTCTATCATCGCTTCTTCGTCGAGTCCGTGAGCGTCGAGGCATTCGGCATGAAAGTCGATAATCTTTTGACGCTGGGGGTCAGTTGTTCCGGCTAAAACCACCTGAAAACAAAAGTTGCTTTAAAAATTTAATTGCCTTTAATTAGGGAATCCCATGTATACAAAGTGGTAAAATTGGTAAAATATTTGCGTATTGCATAAAAACAGCGTGTTTACCATAAAACACATCAAAATATTTTAAATAAACCGCATTTAGTGGAGGCATTAGGTTTAAAAAAAATGATGCTAAAACACCATAATTGATGCGGTTAAATAATAATGTGTAATGCGGTTAAAATAGAATTCTAAATAAAAACCATTCTGTACCTCACTACATTTGGTATATTATTTATTAGTTTATTTTGTTAATATAATTACACTGTGTTTTCCAATATTCCATGGACATAGAACTAATATGTATTTTTGGAATCAAAATAAGTACAGGGTGTCCCATTTTGGTTGAAATCATACGGTATCTTCGTTATTAGTGAAGATAGAAGGATGCGGACTGCACAAACCTGTCCCACTTTTTTGTCAAACGCAAGATGCTGTAAACAAAATTTTCATGGCCCTCTTTGTTTATGAGCTACAGGGTCTCTAAAAAATCATATTTATTAGTAGGCCATGATTGATAATAAAAGAAAATAAAGAATTATTAAAAGTATACTGATATCTATCTCTTGTTTAATTTTTGGGACCACTAATAATTTTTTTATATACTAGGAGAACTTAACTTTCTACCGCTATTTGCAAATCTTTGAAGTTATCGTACCGGAGCTTTTAGATATTCCTGTAGCTAATTTACGTGAAATATACTTTTAGCAAGATGGGGCTTTCCCTAACAACTTTGAAAATATTAGAATTTTGTTAAATTATTATTTTCAAATCAATGAATTGGAACCAATGGACCCATATGAAGGCCTCCCTGAATCCTGGATTTGACCGTTCTCGATTTCTGGTATTGGGGATTTTTAAAATATGAAATATATTGTAGCAATTACAAAACAATGTCGAACACCTGGAAAATTCTTTAATAATGCAAGGTTTTAGATATTTGCAAACACATCCCGTTATAAAAAATTCCATAAAAAAAAAAGATATATTCAGAGATTTAGTGGTAACAGTTCAAAGTAAAATATATCAATCCCAAATAAAAATTTAATGTGTGTATGACTATTTTAGTAAATACCATTTTGATTTTTATGTTATTTATCATGGCCTACTAATAAAAAAATGATGTATTTTAAATATTGAAGTAAAGAGTGAACATAAATATAGAGTGATATATATTTTTAATATATAGGGTGTTCCATTTGAAAAAACCTAACTTTAGTTCATATTTTCAAAAATATTTTTCCGTAGAAAAACAGACTATGCCACTGTAAAAAGTTCTACAAGAATCAGTTTTCACCTTCTCGATATCATCCACAATAACGGAGATACGGGAGCTGTCCCAAATTGCAAAATTTTCAAAAAGACCGTGTAGCTCAGAAACGAAGAGCGCTATGAAAATTTTGTTTACGGCATCTTCCGTTTGACGAAAAAGTGGGACAGGTTTGTGCAAACCCCACTCTTCTAACTTCACTAATAACGGAGATACCCTATGATTTAAACTAAAATGGGACACCCTGTACATTGGACACAATTTGCCACTATACAAAAGTGCTTCGTTTGACAGTTAGAGGGTAGATTTTTTTTAGAATTTACAATGAGTGGGAGGGGGGTTAATCACTGCGACCTTACAGATCTATTGTGTCCCCCTTTCTTGAGTTATAACTCATCATACAGTCCCAGGGCTTTGACAAAAGCCAGTATCTGGGACGGTTTTATAGAGGGTAGTTCTCCATCTCTAGTATCAGTCGTACCAAAGTTCATGGCACGAATAGTTGTCGTCTCGGCGCACTCAGTGATGAGGTGTACTGGTGTTTCCCCATTTTCCCCACAGAATCTGCATTTGCCGTTTCTCCTTAGTTTCAATCTACTGAGGTGTTCATTGAGGAGACAAGAGAAGGTGTCCTGTTAAAAACCCCGTGACTATCCGAAGATTGTTCTTACTTAAACCCAGGAAGATCTGTGATTTTTCTTGATCATAAGCCCTCAGAAACTTCTTCGAGTGTCTTAGACCGTTGCAAGATTCCCATTCCAGGTTGCGGATGGAATCTTCCAAGTTCTTGAGTTCCGCCTTGAATTGGTTACCACTTGGAAAGCAGAATGGTTCTGGTCCAGTTAGTGGAGTGTTCGCTCCTTTTCTAGCTAGATCATTTGCTTTTTCATTGCCTTCTATCCCTTGGTGAGCAGGCACAGGAGTAGGAGGACTTTGTTTTCTTTGCCTAATTTATTCAGCTTCTCTATGCATTCTTTGACCAATTTCGAATTGATTGATACTGAGTTGATCGCTTTTAACGCTGCTTGACTACCAGATAAGATTACTACCAGACCACCTATTTCTTGTTTCCGATAGTTCCTATCTAAGATAAGTTGTACGCATCTTTCGATAGCGTAGATTTCTGCCTGTAGGATGCTAGGGTAAGTGCCCATTGGTTCGGAATATTTAGTTCTCGACCCAAATACTCCGATCCCGAAAGTTAGAGGGTATAAAACTTTAAAAAAAAATAAAAGTTATTAAGATATTTTAAGAACCGATATTCCGATTTGCTGAGAAAAAAATGTAGTAAAACTAGAAGGACCATTTTTCGAAAAAAATCAGTCGTCGGTGGAATTGGAAAATATTTATACTAAAATTTATACAAGAGATGTTAAAAAAATGTTAAAGCAATTAGCAAAACATAGGCACCCCAACTCTCATTTATATCGGAGTAAGGGTTCTTAAACATCTTAAAAAATGTGTCTATACAGGGTGTCTTAATATTCCGTGGACATAAAACTGCTACATATAAAGTTAAAATAATTTCATTGGACACCATTTTACCTCTATACAAAAATGCTTCGTTTATCCGTTAGAGGGCATGAAAGTTTAAAAAAATAAACACATTTGTTGAAATATAAAAAAGAGTAAGTAATGTGGCTAGTACAGAAAGTAATATGGCTAGTACTACGCTTCAACCGCCTGTTATTTCAATTTGGTTGACTCACTGACGAAACTTGGCTTTTGTGATGACTTTTTTGTCTTATTATTTTTTTTACAATTTATTATTGTATATTATTATACAGGGTGAGTGTTAGATAAGTGAAAATATTTTCTCTTTACTGTTTTTCAATTAAGTCCAAAATAATCAAGTTATTTTACTTTCAAAATTTGAAAAAACTGATTTTTTGCTTAAAGTTTGAGAACCCTGAGAATGCTGACAAATCTTAGATTTGTGAAAATCTCCCTTTCTTAAATATAATCATTATGTTCTTTAATACTAACATTTAAGGGTCTAGATGTTTCACCAATGTAAAATTTATCGCATTCACAGGGTATTTGGTATATTACACTTTTTGTTTGTTGTTCTGTATTTATTGGTTTAGTATGTGATAAAATGGATCTAAGTGTATTTTGTGTTTTGAAAGATGTTCGTATGTTATATTGTTTTCCTATTTATTATCCGTTTAGGTTTAATGCAGAAGTGTTTACAAAAAATAATTATTTTATTTTGTAGATTTTCTTGCAGTGCAGTGGCGAAATACCCATACAGGATTTTTTTGGAAAAAAGAATTTATTATTATATTTATTTAAATATTTTTGCTAACATTTCAACATGGGCTTTTCAAAATTTTCATACATATATGAATTTCATAACTTCACAAAACTTTGAGTAATATTAAAATTCTATACTTGAATTGTCTGCATTAATTTGACAACAATATACAATAAACAAAATAATGGACACATGTAATTATTCTAACGCCTCTTTGGATAGAAAGAAAAACCTCCAAAATTTCCCCCAATTTTTGAAAAAGACATCTACAAATTTACATCGTTGGAAGGTACTAAACACGGACATGTTTTGAAATTTGCAGCCAACTACGATTTCCATTAAAAACTATATATTTTATTTTATTTTTGACATAAAGCGTTAGTATAGAAATAAACTGATTACGTCACTCGGTTGTGTATTCAAAAGTACCTTTAGAAATTTTTTGTAGAATTTTATTTTTCAGCGATCCAAAAAAGTTATGGGCAATTTTCAAAATGATCGAAAATTCAAAAATATCTTGTTCGCATTGAAATTAGCGACAAGCAGTTTAAGCTATTAAACATATTTAAGAAATCGAGACCATGACGTCTATATCAATTTTACTCTATCTGGTCAGGAAATAAGATGATCTGTTGAAAGGGGCCAATTTCGATCACCTAATATTAAACTAATCATATTAAAAAATAAATATTCACCGGTTATATATCAAAGAATTATTATTTTGTAACATTGAAATATTGAACTTACCTTCATAACACAACCGACTATTGCAAGAACAAGAATGCCATTTTTTAAGAATACCATTTTTCTGCAGTTCTGTCAAAATTGTTCTGCCTAGTTTCGAACACTTCAGTTATGAATGAACAAATTTCATGGGCTATTTATTATATAGACATTCAGATTGACAATAACGTACAAATTGGCGGTTGAAATTTCCTCGGAACCACGTATTTAATAATGCATTTTCTATTAATTATCTCAAAACAATAAACAATCATTTACGATATAATTGATTGAAAGCAACGTTAACTGCCTATAATTTGATCTATCAAAAATTGAGATTTCCGAAATGAAATTACAGTTTTTAATATTTTCATATCTCCATAGATATTTTAGGTGACATAGATAGAACTATTCATTAAACAGTTTCAAAAATGCTGAAACAAATTAAAAGTAGCTAAGCGTAAATAAATCGATAAGACAAGTGCTTCTTATGATTAGTTATTTAGAATATTGCTTTCATTTACTGTGTTCCTTCATTTAAGAATAAGTATATGTTAAGATAGTTTGGTGAGTATCCTAGTCATCATTTTGTCGTTGTAGAATGTAGAATGTTTGGAAGGGGGGTTTCGCGACTTTACAGATCTATTGTGTATCCACCTTTCTTGAGTTATAACAGGTTATAACTCATCATACATTCTCAGGGCTTTGACAAAAGGCAGTATCTGGGGCGGCTTTACAGGGGCTAGTTCTCTATCTCTGACATTAGCCAAACCAAAGTTTATGGCACAAATGCTTGTCGTCTTGGCGCGGCGCACTCAGTGATGAGGTGTTCTGGTGTTTCTCCATTTTCCCCACAGAATCTGCATTCGCCATTGTTTCTTAGCTTAAATCTACTGAGGTGTTTGAGACAGTGCCCCGAAATCCGAAGATTGCAAATCAAGAAAATTCCTTCATTTTTCTCGGTCGTAAGTCCTCAGAAATGTATTCGAGTGTCTTAGACTGTTGCATTGTTCCACTTGAAAAGCAGAACGGTTCTGGGCCAGTTAGTGGAGTGTTCACTCCTTTTATAGCGACGTATGTCTTATCATTGCCTTCTTGGTGAGCTGGCACCCAGAGTAGGAATACTTTATTTTTTTTACCTAATTTGTTCAGTTTCTCATGACATTCTTTAACCAATTTCGAATTGACGGTTACTGAGTTGATTGCTTTTAGTGTTGCTTTACTATCGAATAAAATGGCAATTTTCTGTATTCCTGTTTAAAGGGGTGTAGGTGCCCATTGGTTCGGAGTATTTAGTTTTCGGCCCCAATACTCCTCTCCCTGTCCCTACTCTGGTTTTTGAAGCATCAGTATAACATACTAACGTGTACCAGCGACTTCGTTCGCGTCGAATTAATCATTTGTAATGGTGATGATAAAGCAAAGCAAGAATTTCCATTAACATACAACCTAGATCAAATTTTCTCACATTTATGTCAGCATGAGAAAAAACAATATGGCGATATTATTATATAACTTGGTAATATTTGAGGGGTAATTTCATCTCGTTGGAATTTGACTTTCGAAAAATCCGTTTGCCAAAAATAAGCTCTTTACATCAAGCAGTTAAGCAGAATCGTGGTTAAGAAATTACCCAACTTTTTGGAACACCCTGTATGATTTTTTAAAAAATTTCAAAATATTTAAAAAAAACAAATAAATTATGCTTGTCCAAGCGTTTTCCCGAAAGCCTAACCGTTTTTTAAATAACAAATATTGTAATATTTAAGGGGCGTTGTCACCCTCTTGGAATATGAGATTCGAGAAACCCCTCCTTATCGAACCTTTACACCCCACAGTCAATCCGTTTGCCAAAAATCAGCTTTAACCGTCAAACAGTTTAAGCAGAATCGTGATTACTCAATGGCCATATTTTATGAAACACCCTGTATAATTTTTTAAAAAATCTTAAAATATGTAAAACAACAAAATAAAATATACGTGTTTAAGAGTTTTTTCGAAAAACTCACAGGTTTTTAAATAAAAAATATTTTAATATTTGAGGGACAGTTTCACCCCCTTAGAATTCGAGTTTCGAAAAATCTTCTTATCGAACCTCTACACCCTAAGATCAATCTGTTTTCCAAAAAATCAGCTTTTTACGTCAAGCGCTTTAAGCAGGATTGTGATTAATCAATGACCAGATTTTTCGAAACACCCTGTATACATTTTTAAAAAATTTTAAAATATGTAAAAAAAATAAAATATACGTGTTTAAGCGTTTTTTCGGAAACTTAACCGTTTTTTAAATAAAAAATATTGTAATATTTGAGGGGTGGTTTCACCCTCTTGGAACTGGAATTTCGAAAAATCCCTTCTTATCAAACCTCTACATCCTAGAATCAACCTGTATGCCAAAATTGAGCTTCCTACGTTGAGTGGTTTGAGCAGGATCGTGATGTCAGTCACTTAAGGATTTTATATATTAGTATAGATTATGGTATGGTTTTTTACATGCTGAGCAAACGTTTCTCTCTTCCAATTCTTTTTATTACTAAATACTACAGTAAGGTATTTCTCAAAGTTGAATATTCTTGGTAAGTCATCCACTGGGAGTTGGAGGAGTGGAATTTTCTTGTTGAGGGTGTTCCAGGCCCCTGACCTAATAAATCTCCCAGTACTGTTTCCGTCAATGACCATTCTAATCATTGTCGCACTGGCGGCATATCTATCCACAACATAGTGCAGTGTGTTAGGTCTAGAATGACCTCTATTGCTGCTGTTGGATATCTTCTCATGACACCTGTGATGCCAGTCTCTGTACTTTGCACAGATTTTGCCTTGCTGTATACGTTGCCCTAATTTTGTATACCAAGCAACTGCTCCATAGGTATCTTGTCCTTTACTCCTATGGAACATAGAGCTTCTTAAGTAATAATATCAAGTGAGTTCGGTTGCTTGAAATTCAATTAACATATCGCCATGAGAGGTTTACTGTTTTTACTAATCTTAATTGTTTAACAGTTTTAATCAGCCGTTGATGATGCTAATATAGTCGTGAATACTCGCGTACAACATGCATGATTTATTGAACAAATTTGTTTGTTTATTTGATTAATCAACTGGTGTTTAAGCTATGTGTATAAAAAAACAACGAAATTTCCGTTTGATTTACACGGGAGACTATTTTGCCCTAAGTAGCGGGGCAAAGTAAAGTAATCCCCTTATATATGCTTACTATTTAGTTAAAAAAGCTAAGTAAAATTTAGTCTAAAAACTATGAATAACTAAAAGTATACAAAATTTGAAGCGAACAGCATAACAAAACCTAAAGTTCAAGTTATAAGGTTTCAAACCTTAGAAAGGTCATCTTGCCCCGGTCTCCCCTAATTATAATACACACGTGTAGGTGTAATTAATTTTTAAAAATGTAATTGCAACAGTAGAAATAATTCATATGTTTCTCTAATATAATACTATTATGTTGAAATTATACCAATAAGGCTTGTGTAGGTATAATTATATTATAATAGCTTAGATGTATAATCAAATTCACTTGTGTGTAGATATAATTACATACGTATAATAGTATTGCGCTCTAAAAAATACTGGAGGGTTAAAAATAATCGATATTTTGCAATAAAGGATTTATCATAATTAATGATACTCAGTTCTACAAACTTTTTTCTGAATAAAAAATAAACAAACAACAAACTTTTTTCTGAATAAACTTTTCGATTAAAAAAATATCCAGTCTCGTTCATTATTTTATCCGTTTATCTTTACGTGGAAACTCCAAACCAAGACGTTTTTTTGTCATTTCGAGATTTATCAAAATGTTCGGATGTTAACAAGGGTTTCTGTAGCAAAACAACAAAAAATTATAACTCCAATTCTGGCAGGGAATATCGCTTCAATAGAATATCTGTAATGATATCGCCATCGGAGATGTAAAAAAAACGACAGTATATTTTTATTTTTGAAACTTACAGTAATAGATGTTATAAGACAATACCGTATGATCGAATAAAAACGGCGTCAACGATGGCTATGAAATGAAGATCGCTGTCATTTTATATATAAAATTATATGGGAAATGTCATCGATCGTCATTTCCAAGCCAACTGGACGCCGTTTTTTTTCGATCATACGGTATATCATAAATAAACATAAATGAAATACAAAATATTTTATATATTACAAAATTTATAATACAGGGTTATGGTGATATGCAATAAACTGTAAATGTGCAAAAATTTATTTTTTAATCCAGTTCAGGCATAAATTATTTAATAAAATCAATTAAGAAATTATTTTATATTAATAAATGATATTTTTCTATTATTTTTACCTATTAATCAGTTATTTTTCTAAATTTTTTATACACAATTCCAGTTCAATATTTTTGCCCAAATCAATATTTTTTTTTTCTGGAAATATACTAGAAGAGTGATAAAGTTAACAAGAAATACCAGATGATCCAAAAAACACGGCGTCAAAGACGACTGGGGAATAGCAATCGATGATACTTTTGGCGAGGTCTAGCTCTAAACGTCATTTACTTGGGTAACAATTTTTTGGCGCAAATCTGAGAGTCTAAACAGCCATTTACACATTCAGTTTCTGTTATCCTTTCTCAGCCTGGTTCCATCCAGTGTTGGATATAGGCCTCTTCTAGATTTTTCCATGGTTCGCATCTCTAGTTAATATCATCCATTGTCTTCCTGCCACTGTTCTGACGTTATCGACCCATCTCTTTTTCGGTTAGCCTACACTTCTTGTTGTTTCCCTAGGTCTCCATAGTATGACTATTTGTGGCCATCGGTCGGTCTGTATCCTGTCTTGTCACGATTGTTCGATCCATTGCCACTTCGGACTGGTTACTCTTTTAACAATATCTATTACTTTTGTTTTTTGACATACTACTACTACTACAGCCATTACTCGCTGACGAGTATTTGACACGCCTCAAAAGATGGTTACGCAAGGCGTTTCCTGTCATGAGCTTTCCTGTGACTGAAAAGCCCGATACGTGATGTTATATCTCTTCCGCACTCCGGACATTCAAGAATCTCATTACTTTGCTGCCTCTATACTTTTTGGTTGTCGTTATTAACTAAATTTACAATTCTCCTCCATTGCGTTCTATTGTGCGCTGCTTCCTCCCACTGATGCTGCATACTTATCCCCTTTAAGTTTTCATGAACAACATCCTTGTATCTTTTGAGTTGTCCACCCGGTTTCCTCTTACCCTCTACAAGTTCACCGTAAAGAAGATATTTCGGTAGGCGCTCTTCTTGCATCCTGCATACGTCGCCAGCACATCTTAAGCGAGATTTAGTAATCATTAGTTCAGCGCTCTCGCAGCTTGCTTTTTTAAGGACTGATACGTTTGAGACATGGTGGTACCATTTGATTCTTAAAAGTTGTCAAGGTGTCAATTTCTTTAATGCGCTCGTGTGCCGGCGGTACGGCACCCAGGTTTCGTTTCCATTTAACATGGTGGGGATTATTACTGCTCGATACACTGCAAGTTTCGTTTTTGTGCTCAAGTCATGATTGTAGAAAACCCTGTCTTTTAATTTCCAGAATGCTCTTGAGGCGCTGCTGATTCTGTGCTGAATTTCAGAGTCGATATTTGCCTTTTCCGAAATCAAACTGCCGAGGTAATTAAATTCCGATACATATTCCAACAGTTCTTCTCCGATTTTTATAGCGCTGTTATGATTTTCTGAGGGAGTGCACATGATTTTTGTTTTATCGATGTTCAGTTTAAGGCCCAAAGTTTTCGACATACATATGTGGGTGTTCCGTATGTTTTCTCTCACGGTGACTTCTAAACATGATTCTCTCCATGGTTCTTTGTGCAACTCGTAGTTGTTCTACGGTTTTTCGGGCAGTTGCCATAGTTTTTAAGCAATACGTAAGCATCATACATAAGCATAGGTAGGGTGCAGCTGTCATAAGCCTTTTTTAGATTACAGTTGAGGGTTGGAACCTTTGGTGTTAAACAGCAAAATAAAAACACTAAATCACCACAATACACAAAAAGTGTTTTGGTGTATTGTGGTGATATAGTGTTTTTATTTAGCCTTTTTTAGGTTGATGGTTGAACATATTCAGTTAGTTGGTGCTATTTAAATAACCTAAAAAGAAGACATAAGCGTAACTGCATTAAACATTTCTGAATTGTTTTTGGCTTTGTATTAAAACTATATAAATATTTCTGAAACAAGTAGGTACTGTATAAACAAATATAATATTAAACTATTTTAAAAAAAATCACCTAACAATTAAATACATACTTGATAAACAAATTGTGACGTTAAATACTAACCAGTAAATGTAACTATCTAAAACCGTGGTAACGTAAAAACCAAATTTTTGAAGTGCTCAAACGATTTCTGTTTAGACTTTACAGTTTATTGATACAGTTTGGTTTGCGCAACTTAAATATTGATCTCTAAACTCCCCTGAACGTAAAATGAACAGCCAACTTTTCGACGAACTGACTTTATAAATGCATTCATTTTATAGTATTGAACATTTTGAACGTCAACTGAACTTCAACTGCCGAGTTTATAAATCTAGCTTTACATATTTGTCCGTAACATATCTAAATCTCAGTGCTTATAAGTTTTAAGCATCAACGCACAGTCAAAACCGCTTAGTCTAGAAACACCAAATTTGGCACAAAGGTTACTTGATTGGGGTAAGGTGCCCGGTGGCGTACAGGCCCTCGTCTACCAATCTCAAGGTAGTGGGTTCGATTCCCACACCCGGCATTGCATCAGCCGACTATTTTTATTAAAATAAAAATTGTTTGGGTACCTAGGTCGACTCAGCCTTAAATGAGTACTTGGGATTCACAATCCTGAGGTAATAATAGGCGGTTGAAGCGTAGTGCTAGCCACATTACCTTCCTTGTATACCGAACGGCTCTAGTATGGCAAGCTGTACCTTGCTACTCTCAAGGCGTTAAACGCTATATACGGGAGCTATTATTATTATTATAAAAACGAGATTTGTTATGTTAGTGTGTGACATAAATTAGGAATAATAGTTAATAATAGGAATAATTGAAAAGGACGTAATCCTTTTCGGTCACTTCTTGTTTCAGCGGAAATTTCTATAACTTTTTATTTATAAATGGCACCCTCGGTATTTTTTTTTTACTTTATTTGATAGAAAATGACACTCTGAATAGAATAATATATCATATGTCAACTTTCGACACTTTCACTTAAAACAAAACTGTTTTTTTTAAATTTCAATCTAGGGTGCCATGGTTATGTTTAAAACAAATTTTTAAATCGAGCTTTGGAAAAATAAATTCGATCGTCTAATGTTTTTAGTGTCTTGTCCTGGCCGGTTTAAAGATGCCCAAATGTTATTTTTTATTATATCTCCATTTTTTGCATTATGCAATAATTTTGGCTGTGTGTATGATGGGCATCATATAAGTATACAGGGTGGTCCGATCTATATTCCGGAAACTTCGGCAGCATATTCTGCAGATAAAAATAAGTAAAAAAGTTCGTATAAATATATGTCCTAAAATGCTTGGTTTCGGAGATACAGGGTGTAGAAGTGTCATTTTTATTTCAATTTTTTCCAAATAATTTCTGAAGTAACATCAATATTTGGATGAAAATTGGTAGTAGTTTTTTAACATGAAAAATTTGATTTTGATGTCAATATTACTCCTACTAGTAGAGAGCGCCACCCACATTTTTAACTGGTATGAAGAGTAATAACTTTTCGTCCGTACCTGTATAAAACTACTGAGTAAAAAATTATACATTTACAACTTTTTTTACGTAAAAAAAAGTCTCTTGGTAAAAATTGCTACGAGTAATATTTTTCAAGATATTTGGAATGGAAATTATCAATACTTGTCATCATTGACATAAATTAAACATGTGGACTAAATAGTTATTAGACTGAAATTATAACTTTGAAATGTTTTTGTGCCAAAAGTTCAATAGAAACTGTTTTATCATCATTTTTTGCAGAAAAATTTATCATTAATTAAAAAGAAATAAAAACTTCCCAAATTTATTATTTCAGTGAAATAACAACTATCTACAGTTTGTCTGCTGGATCTGTGTCTATGAAAGGATTGCGGACAAAAAACATTTAAATAAACAGCAATATATTTTATACATCGACTTGACGAGTACGTCACACACACGTGAGTACGTACACTCATTTTATTGGCTACTTGCAAATTTGTCGAATTTTTATTGATGGGACGTGTCGTCTAATTTTTTACGAAAAACATCGGGAGAATATCGTTTCCCCTCTCACGGATACCCCGTAGCCACAGAACGGACAGATGTACTGTAGGTACTCAACGTGTTTATTTTTACTCAATATTAACATGTATTGACTATTCCCATTCTAAATATCTTGAGAACGGTTGCTCGTAGCGATTTTTACAAAGAGATATGTTTTGCGTGAAAAGTCACAGAGATGTATATTTTTTCCTCGGTAGTTTTATACAGATACGGACAAAAAGTGATTACGCTTCAAAACTGTTAAAACACATGTTAGACATGCCCCCTATTAGTAGGTGTCATTATGATATCAAAATCAAATTTCTCATGTCAAAAAACTCCCAAACACCAATTTTCATCCAAATATTTACGTTTCTTTAGAAATTATTTAGAAAAAAACGAAATGAAAATGAAACTTCTACACCCTGTATCTCCGAAACTAAGCATTTTAGAAACATTTATACGAACCTTTTTACTTATTTTTAACAGCAGAATGTGCTGCCACGGTTTCCAGTACACAGTTCGGACCACCCTGTATAATAAATGATACGATTAAATGACAAATATGAAATAGATGATATACTACATGGAGATACTTCAACAAGTGAATTAGTACTTCATATTGAAAAATAATTATTTTCTTCAGATTAATAAGAAAGATTTCCCCAGAAAAATCCTTTATGGGTATTTCGCCACTGCACTGCAATAAAAAAAAATCTTCTTTTCTTTAAATCTTCATTTGCTTTTCTATGTAGAAATTGCCTCTAATTAAAATCCATCAAAAAATTGCAAGACCAAGATAAGACCCTTCAAGACCAAGATCATAGCATGGTCTTGATGTAATCTTTGCTCACCCATTATCATTTCCTAGTCAACCTGACGCTTTCAACCCTACGGTACTTGTGGTTATACATTTAGATAGATAAGGAAAAAAATAAAAACCATCAGCACATGCATCAACTATATTTTACATTTTATACACCTTATTATATAGCATATATTTTAGATTAATATTTACACAGTACAAGATTGCCTTAAAATATATTACATTCCAAAATGTTCTTCATACAAACACTTTGCCATATGATAAGCAGTGTCTTGAGTTGTTTCCATTACTACGTGGCACTTATCCAACATGGCGTCAACCCTTGGCTCGTCATTGACAAACATCATCAAGCCTTTCTTTAGAATTTCTTGATGGTAGTTTCCTTGTTCGTCGATTACGCCACCTTTCTTACCCACGCACACTAAATGCTCCTTAAAAACTGGTGTGTCGGGAAAATCACCTCCAAAGGCTCTCATGATCATTTCGTCAGTAGCTCCAGTTTCTTGCATACATTGGTTTTGGAAGTTGAACATTTTTGTTCGTTGTTCGGGTGTCATATCCTGAAAAGTAAAAATGTGCCACATTTAAAAATTTGACTGTTATGAAAGTTTCAAAAAAGAATTAAAATAAATTAGAAAAAGATAATAAATAAATAAATAAAAACGCCTTTATTTTTAACTCGGCGACATTCAGCTGAGTTGTTAGTTTAACCGAGCATTAAAAAAAATACAATTATAAGATTAAAACACAAATAAAAAGTTTCACGATATTATCTACCTATCATAATATACTACGAAAAAAGACAAAAAAAAACAAACAAAAAGAGCCACCTAGTTATTTATCTGTGAAAGAGGCTTTTTAAATTTTGATTTAAATGTGCAAAACGAGATATTCTTTGATTGACTGATAATGTGATATTGGTTAAGCAGTTTAACTGATGCATATGAAAAGCAGCTCTGGGGCATGGCTTTATTAATTTTGGGTATTTGATAGTGCGTATTAAATCGAGTTTCGCGTGGATGAATATGGTCCCTACGTGTTAGTTTTTCAAACAAATATGAAGGCTTCTCAGATTTAATTATTTTATGCAGGAATCAAGCAAAATGAAGTTTTTGTCGATCCAATATATTTAGCCACTTTAGATCACGAAGTTTGTGGCTCACGTGATCACTACGTTTCAGGTTGTAAATAAAACGAATGCAAGAGTTCTGAACTTTTTGTAATTTGAATTTGGTTGAAACATGCAAACAAGGTCCATATACAAAATTACAGTAATTCAAATGACTTTAAGACAAGTGCTTCGCATAATTTTTTGTTAGCCCAAAGTTCAGAACATCTTTGCTTTTATAGATGTTGCGGAGATTAATATAGGCTTTTTGGAGAACTTTTGATACTTGAATACGAAATCGAAGTGTGCTGTCGAACACTACACCCAAATTTTTGTACTCGTCAACAATATGGATTCTTACTCCATTTATTGACAGCTGCCCAATTCTTCGCTGGTCCAAAGTATATAATAGCCGACTTATTTGGGTTCAGTTTTAGGCCGTGATTTTGCGAATATTTAGAGACGGATTCTAGACATTCATTCAAGTCTCCTTCAGGCTTCCACTGCATCAGATTGTGAAAATGAAATTTGTATTTGCGTGTCATCTGCGTATCTGTACCTATTACACTCTTTAAAACAATTGACATATCTGCTGTAAAATTGATGAAGAAAAGGGGACCCAAAAGTGATCCCTGATGGACCCGCCTATCAACTTCCAAAGGCATTGACTTTATGTTATCCAATACCAATGGCTGGATAGTTTTAAGTTTGAATCCGAAATGGCTCAACTTGGCACAAAGCAGAGCGTGGTTGAGGGTTAAGTTGCTTTGCTGTAATCAATTTGCTGTAAATCAAATGTTTTGCTGTAATCTAGTAATACTAGGGCAGATATTTCTCCCTTGTCTGCTGCTAGTAAGATGTCATCCAGCACTTTTAGCAAAGCCGTGGCTGTACTGTATCCTTTACGAAAACCTGACTACAGTTTGGGTGACAGGTTGTTTCCAATGAAATAGTCAATAATTTGTCTGTAAATAAGCTTTTCAAACACCTTAGAAAGCACTGATATTAGATTAGATGGCTACAAAATTACAGCAGAATGTAGAATGAGTGAAAGAGGGGTTAATCACCTCGGCTTTAAAAGAAAAAAATCAAAAGAAAAAAATGTATAATATTTTATTTTCAAAATGAAAAAAACTGGATAGAATTCGAAAATTGTTCATTTACTTCAAAATCAGTAAAAGATAAATAACTTTTTTCAATTTAAAATTTCTTGTTTAGAGGAAATGAGGGTAATTCGGAATACTGTTGGGAATTTGGAATACTCACTTGTTGGAGCTATGCGTGGCTCTATTTGTTTAAATATGGCATAAACTACTAGTTCGGCTTGTATTTAGTGGACAACAGATTTTGTAGTTATTTAAATTTATGGTGCAGAACAAAAATATGTGAACAAATAATTGTGACGTGACAAAAACTTTTTTAGTGGAAATTAAATCGGCAATCATTGCCCTGATTTGTGATTTAAATTAACTTTGATTGAGGGTCTTCAGGTAAGCATTGGTTTATATTTTAATTTGTTAAATGTATATTTTCAATATCTTAATGCATATATATATTTTTTATGGATTATAGCCTAGGTCTTCATATTGCTAATTTGGAATAGTCCAAATCAATGTCTTCTTGCTGTTTTTGGATCCTATAATGTATGTAAATTTCTTTGACACGCACTGTAGCTCAACATACTTGATGGATTTTAACATATAAAGTGTCTGGTGTCGATTGATTTTTCTTAATCCGGTCTTAATTGTAGGAGAGATATAGGTAATAGGGGCAAAAATCAGAAGACAAGAACGAATAGTGAATCTAATGCAAGCTGAATTATTTCGATCTTCTCAGAACTCGCTCCAGAATTTGATTGAAATAAATAGCCGCAAGAGACTGTAGCTTTGTTCCGGTACTTGTTATTTCCGATTATGAACCCTTCTAGAACTCTGCAGCGCATGCGCAAATGAAATAATTTTTTCATATTTCCTTCTGCGTTTGCGTATCACAGTTATAGATATAGTTCAGCATCGCTAATAAGAAAAACCCAAAGTAAACTATTATGTTTTTTCTTCTGCGAAGGAAAGGCACATGGGGAGAATAGTGGGATCAGTGCCTCACATGCACAAGTGTCGGATATGACTCCAGAACGTATATGTGTGCGATTTTTGTAATTATTCTATTTAATTTTCTCTTTTCATAAATATTTGGATACTATTGATAATGTTATATTTAATGTTAACATTACTACTTTTTCAGTGAATCTTTAAATCTGTTGTTTTTTGTTAAGTTCGTTATTTAAACATATGTATGTAATACACTCATATTAACACTAATCATATTTTTACGTTTTTATTCATCATTTTCAATGCCCCCCGGTTGCATCTTTGTAAAGGACTGTGAATTTTTGCACTGTTTTCTCATGAGTAAAAAAATACATTTAAATTACTTTAAATACTTTAAAACTTTCGTATGACATACAAGATATGTTGCTCTAAGGCACGCTATTTATTTTATTCAAAATAATCAACATTTATTTTTTTTATTTTTTTTATAACCACTATTCCAAAACACCTTCACTTCCTCTACTCCGTTGAATTTAGTTAAGGCGCGAAAGTCAGCGACCATAGTGATGACTACTTTTACGTTGCTACCCCCACCAGAACTTAAAGATGCTGTAGAAATGATAGAAACAAGATATTGTCTCAAATCAACCTTATTTTGCAATAAATATCTCTGTTATAATCAGTTGAATTTCGCTTTCTATAGGTACGCAATTACACATAGCTCCTATTTTATCAAAAAATAAAATTAATCGGTCTTACTCTCGCATAATTAATTGTTATCTATTATTATATCGATAAAAACGAACGAAGATTATAGGTTAAAAAGAGGCTTAAGAGAAAAAGATCGGTCTGCTCTGGAGTTTGCTCATATCCAACTAGGACCTGATGTATTCAGATGACAAGCCTACACAAGAACCCCATTTTTTACTCAACCCGACTAAATCGACCCAACCTTCCAACCGAATTGGACCGTGTATAGCAGGTTTTATTTAAATTCTTCTATATATTATGTAAATAGCCGCCCATACCCCATACACGCAAGGGATTTTTAAAAGGTTTGTGCCGCCATGGTCTTTACCTCTCATTAATATCTGTGCGTTAGTGGACCAACGCGGAGAGGTATCGGATATGTGACAGTCCTGATTATTGTGAGTTCTAACCTGATAAAGTATCTTTATACCTGATATGCGCTTTTGTGAATACCAAAATACTTGTACTCTGAACGACCGGATCTGTGGATACGGAATGTCATAATATGTGGATTGCGGGACCGATGGATCGCTTAAAAATCCTTTGCGTGTATGGGCGGGTAATGAATTCATTAAAAAATCTGTGTGAGTCTCATAAAGTATAACATTCTATATACAGGGTGTCCCAGACAGAGCGTGAATTAAAAGTTTTTAGAGAATTACATACTTCAATTATCTGTAAAATTTTATGAATTTTGATATCAAACACTCTATAACTAACATTAACCGTTTTTAAGAAAAAAATATTTAACATTTTTAAAGGAAAAAAAACTGCCTGTTAATGGTTAAGTTTTATTGGCTTATTTTAAAAATTACAGATCATATTTCAATATTATTGGTTTGATCCTTGTTTATATATTCTTAAAGTTGATCAACCTCTCGACAAAATGTGCTGCCTCTGGTGAACAAATCGTGAAGCTTTAAAGGAATGAAGCATGTGATTAGGGGCGGAGTAAAAAATATCGATTATTTGCGGTATTTCCCTCAGAGTAATGTAATAATATAGCTCGGATTTTTGCGAACTATAATAGGGGTCAACTGATTAAGAAATTTAAACAAAACTATTACACACTATTATTTCATTGTTGATTTTCGATTATTTTTGCTGTTATTTTAAGGATTCTAAACTGTATTAACAAAGATATTATTATTTCAATATGTTGGTACATTAATGCTAATTACTGATAATTATTAATATTTAAAAAAAGTTACATACACTTACTTTATTTCGATTTGACACAGGGCTATAACATTTTATTTCATTCTTAGATCATTTTATTCTAAATTGAGGTTTTACGAATTTACGATAATTTTTTTTTAAAACAAAACTTTTATACATTCTTGATTAAATTTGTTCTTAATTAAAAATAAAACTTGGCACTTGCTTCAATAATATTATTTGACATTTAAATAAATATTATGTACTATGTACTTAATACACCATTTAAATCTTTATTACACGAAATAAATATTTCTTAGCGTAAAACTAGATCAGAGTCAAATTTGTTTTAACTTTGTACCATATGAAAAAAAAAACGGCGTCCAGTTGGCTGGGAAATGACGATCGACGACATTTCCCATATAAATTTACATATAAAATGACAGCGATCTTCATTTCATAGCCATCACTGACGCCGTTTATTTTCGATCAAGAATTATAGAAACTGAAAATATCATTATGTTTTAACTCACGAAGCCCTTTAAACCATAAAACTTTCTAGTATATTGTTTTATTAGGAGAAAAAATGACACTTTTCGTGGTGAGACTGTACGTTTGACACACAGCCGAAGCACAAAAAGTTATTTTTACTCCGAATAGAGCATGCTATCTTTTTCAAACGCCACAAATAATTTTTTAAACAATTTCAAACGTTCCAAATAATATAAAAAGATTTAAAACTCATACCTTGTAAGTAATTATCATGATACAAAGAAAACAAGGTATGATATTGCGCAGGTTGGTCACCACGTCACAGGTGATAAACGGCACTATTGGTCGGCAAGCTCCACGCGCCAATTTCAAATTTTCAAACAGATGATACATAATAAATGTGTATAATGATAATGTGTCATAACTTTTCAAATGTCAATCTCGATGATTTTACATAACTTTTTTTAGGGATTATGTCCGAATTCTTCCTTATTTTAAGTCTTTTTTTATTAGTGGCAATTGAACAATAAGGATATTTTTTTGTATGGCATATGACGTCACAGACGATATGCGCAAACTGAACGAAATTGGAGTCGCTACCGATCATACCTTGTTTTCAAGTTTTCTTTGTACCATGAGTAATTATATATCGAGAAACTATGGTTACGTTATTTGAGACTTATGTCATTTTAATAATATATTTTCATACTTTTATGCTTCGGCGTTAAAGTGCTTTACTTTTATGCCTAGGCGTTAAAATGACTTTTATATTGTCAATCACGTCGCAAAAATTAATACTTTTGTGACATTTGAAAAGAAATAATATTTTGAAAGTAACTGTATATTTTTCTGCCACAACATATATAAGGGTTTGATGGAACGATGATCGATAAATGGATGCCGACGAACTCGACTTAAGATTTTTGAGAGTTGTCAAACTCTTGTCAAATTATAGGTTATAATTTTGTGTCAAATTACGTCAAATAGAAATGATAAATATTTTGCATTTTGCATTTTGAACTGTGTTATTACGTGTTTCGTGTTTTTTAAAATTAAGTGGAGGAAAACTAGAGGGAAAATTAAGTGTTGACCCAGACTATAGTTTCCAGTTAATATTTGGTGCCCAGAGACACAGTTTGCCAGAGTGTTGTATTATCCCCGAATAAATTTTGTATACCGTCTCTTGTATGGTACCAAAAACTGGAGTATCTTTAAAATAACATCACACGAGATAATGTGAAAAGGTGTTGGTTTAAAAAAAATAAGAAAGTTAATTAACCAACTTTTAAGGTATAAAATTTAAGTGTTATTATTAATTAAAAATTTTGTTTTATTTATGTGGTATTTATTTATTTCTTTGCAATATTATTTTTTTATTTGTACATAAGTTATATTGATAAATGTAATAATAAATGCAGGATGTAAGAAGCTTGAACTAAGAAACAGTTTTTTATATTTCTTTTTTGGTATGTAGTGTTTTGTTTAAAAATGCACTCTTTTGTTTGTTTTGTTATTAACACATAACGTAATTTGATTTTAATAAAATAACTCGATTAGATTTTCTCAGTTTTATACAGTTTTTTCTTCACCATTTTTCAAAATATTTTAAAGTTATCACTTGCCACTTGCCACTCAAATTTTAAATATATTAATGTTCTGCTATGCGTTCCAGTTGTAACAATTTTTTTTTTAAATAAAATAAACTACTTTGAAATTAAACTCTAATTAATTATCATCTATCACTGTCAAAGATTTTGTCATTGAACAAACTATATAAAGTAATATATTAATATAAAAAACACTACAAACAGCTGACAGGTTTTAAATTTTTTTAAATATAAAATTTTATTTTGACCCGTTCAGTATTACTATTACTTAACAGTAATTAACACATTATAAGATAAACTAATTAAATCTTTATGAACTTACTGCACTCGATAAGACAAGAACGCAACACAAGACAAATATTCCCTTCATTTTGTGACAAGTTCAATTTTTTACAAATAAATTACTGACAAATTATGTTTACATACCTTGATTTTATATACAGGAAAAAATATTCCCTTGAAATGTTTCCATCTAATACTCCCTTAGACTAAAACTATTAATTAACACTAGATTACTTTGTATTGTACCATGTGAAGTGGACAGATAATATGTATGATTATGGTGAATGATTTGCTAAATTTGTAAAAAATCAAGTACCGTAAAATTGTTAATGTACACCGACAATCTTTTTAAATGTTATTTATGGAATTGTTTTCTTTGAATCACTGATTCGATTTTAGTTATACAGGGTTGTTCACGACACGGAGTATTGTAGCTAAACGATGAAATTTTTACAAATTGTAAGTTTTGGGTTCGTTGGAGGACTATTAGAGCTACAATTTAAAAATATTTTTACAAGATACAGAGTGTCCCAAATAAGTAAAAAATATTATATTTGTATTTTTTTAAATGGAACACCCTGCATATTATTCCATTTTTAGATTCTAAGATTGAAATAAAGGTAAATTTGATTAGCTTAAACCTTACCGTTTTTGAAATATTTTCAATTTTGTGAAATTGCAGAAAATAAATTAAAGCGTCATTTCTCCACGAGTATCAAAGTTTTTAATACTAAATATTTACTGAAGTTTATCTATTGATCAGATATTGTATTGCAATAATAAAAATAATACTACCTCATACAGAGTGTAAAAAAATTATATTAAATAATTACTAGCTTAAACGGCAATAACTCGATTAATTTAAATAGAACACCCTGTATATTTTACAACAATCAAATGCACAATTTAATTGTCTATCAAATTGTATTCCATAATTTTTTTACCTATCTCTTCAAGTTTTCGTAGAAAATCTATTTTGTTATAATTTAGACCTCATTTCTCAATTTACCTATGGAATATTGACATTTTAGATTTTTTTTAAAGCAACAAATGTACAAAATGTACAGGTGCTAAAAACGATAATATTACAAGCTCATTTGTTTACAAAAAAAACTATTTAAATCTTTGTAAAAGAGTATACCAATTAAATATACCACCATTATTTCCGCCCAAAAATTAGTTTATTACAAACTTAATTGTTTTAGTTAATAAATTATTCTAAATAAATGTGGATTTGAATCAGAAATCAATATAGTAATAAGTTATAGTATATGAAAATTAACGTCCCTGTTATTATAAATGCAGCAGTCGTCAAAAAATAAAACAAAATTTATAAAGTGTTACTTTTTACCACACAGTCTAATACACATACAAAATTCAGTTTTGTAGTATTTGGAACAATTATTATTAATCAACGCAAATAGGCAATTAATGTAGTTTGAATAATGGGATCATATTGATTGGTCCTCTTTAACAAATATTTGAACAGTTTTTATTTTATTTTTTTAACGAAATAAGCGAATTATATTGACAATATTAGTATCTGTACTCTTTGAAAATTTGTTACATCTTTAAAAATGATCTAAAATGCCAATATTTCATGAGTAAATTAATAAATCGGATCTAAATTATAAGAAAATGCATTTTCTACGAAAACTTGAAGAGATAGGTAAAAATTGTATAATACAATTTGATAGACAATTAAAATTTGCATTTGATTCTCGTAAAATATACAGGGTGTTCCATTTAAACCAAAGAAATTATTGTCGTTTAAAGCTAGTAATTATTTAAAATATTTTTTTAGACATTCTGTATAAGGTGGTATACTTTTAATAATTGCAGCACAAAATTTAGTAAATAGAAAAACTTCATTATGCTATTTCCTTTCAAAACTTAAATACGCCTAGAGAAATGAAGCATTAGAATTGTTAATTTTGACAAAATCGTAACTATATCAATAACAATAAGATTAAAATGCGGTAAACCTTAATCAAATTTACCTTTATTTCAATCATAGAATCTAAAAATGTAATAATATACAGAGTGTTCCATTTAAAAAAATACAACTATAATATTTTTTCGATGGGTGAACAGCTGCAGGAATTCCTAGGAAGTACCAGGAAGTATATAGGATTTCCTAAGAAGTATGTGGATTTCCCAGGAGGTATACAGGATTTTCTAGGAAGTATACAGGATTTCCCAGGATTTATGATGGAATTCCAGGAGGTATGGAGGAGATCTAGGATGAGATAGCTCGAAAAAATACGCATCAAATCACGAATATTGACCTCGTTTTGATTAAAATCACACAATAGGCTCAGTGCATAACAAATAAATTTGAATTAAAACAATTACAGCTTCATTCAGAACCTCGCAATTAGTGGAATAAATTAGTGGTTTCAATTACACTTTTTACTTTTTAGTTAAACTAAAAAATTTAATAAAAAAGTTAATTACGATCGTTTACAATGTTTAAAAAAACAATTAAAATTACTAGAATATCCTAGCAACAGCTTGTGTTAGCCAGTTGTATCCATAGAGAAAGCCTAATATTTAGCTTACAAAACAATCAGCTTTTGATTTCAAACAACAATTTCTCCTAACGGAAGATTATGAAAAACCAAAATTACATTTCTCGCAAATTTTGAAGTATAATTATTGGAAAAGTTAAAAGTTTGATAACTTTTCCTACTAATTGAAAATGTCTACCATTAATTTTGACATTGTGAATGCTTACATTCAAATTAAAGGAATAAGCTTCTACGTTAATTGAAGCTACTAATTTATTCCACTATTTACGAAGTTCTGAATGAAGCTTACAAATAATTAATTATAAAAGCTCCACAGACAAGAAGAAATTAAAAAAAAAGATCTATCGGAAAGCGATTAAAAAATTCATGTTTTTACTGCAAACGCGTCGTTTTCCTGTCATTATTTGATGACGTCGCGTCGGTGGGTTCTAAAATCAAAGTTGACTTAGACATTTCTTTAATAATAATGACATATAACAGATGCCATTAGTATCCAGTGACGTAATAATGGTTCTCGCGCTTTTGTTTCTGTTTGAATTAGTTTGGAGAGGATTACAATATTTGGTGTATTGAGTGTGCTCGGTGTATTTTTTTTTCGGTGTGTTTTTTAATACAACAACACATAAATTAAGAAGCTTATTATCTGAAAGCAAAATAACACTGAACTCTCGACTGAACTGTTACGGACTAGGACTGATTTAAAATTGGAAGATAAAATGAATTTTAAGGCAGCTCAAAAAATATGTTCCATTGAAGTCCTTGAATTATTTAATACTGTTGCTGAGGGTGCAAGAACCAAGGAATAAATAAAATAACAATAAATTTAAGAATGATGAATTTAGTTATATGTTCCTATTTGGAAGAAAATTTGGATTTAAAAAGAAGGTTATATAATTTATGGTACTGTGTGTTTTTTTACGTATTTAGCGTAAATGGCTAATGATGAGTAATAAGAAAATTGGAGAACATTTTATATGTAACTGTTACACATTCATCGAGTTGAACGCTCATGCTCTGATTAATTTAATTATACATTTTCGAGAAAATCCAAACCTCACAGAGGATATGTTCCTTCCTTTGCTTTTTAGCAGTCAAAGCTGTGAGAAAATATTCCGAGCTACAAGGTCCATGACAACAATGCAATCTACAGTAGTAAATTATAGTATTAAAGACGTACTGGCAACGATTGGACAGAATTAGATCGATTAATAATATTACCCATGATTTAAGAGCTGTAATACGTTTCCCAAGAGAGCAGAAAAGATTTTAAAGAGTTCGTTCTAAGGGCCAAAACGATGCACAAATTGAAGAGCAGAGTGCAAATAATGAGGTGAAAGATATTGAAAATGCCTTTCAAAACTGATCATTACAGTGAGAATGTTTTGATGGACTCTTTGCAGGAAGCACTTGCTGTAACTGAAAAGATGGGAATGCAAGTTGAAAATTGTTCATGGAACTTGACCACTATACCAAAAAATTCAGAAGAACAATCAGTAAACAAGCAGTAAGTGATGAAAATGAATCTGTCATTGATGATTCGCAAATAGCCGAAGAAAGTATTTTTGAAAATCAAGAGGAAGAGATAGATGATTTAAGAATAGGAATCGACCAAATTAATGAGCAAAGCAAAAACACAATAGGACTCACAGGTCGCAGTGTTTCCGGCAGAGGATGGCCCCTTGCTATAAAAAAAAACTAATGAGCAAACCAAACCAAACCAAACTCTTTTTTATCGAGTCGATTTTGGATACCTTTTTCAACTTTCTGTAAAGTTTGAAACTAATTACAAATTTCGTATGCTCAATAGCATCAGGAATTCCCAAAAAATATATATGACATTTCCCAGGAGGTATTCAGGAATTCCCAAGAGATATTCAGGAATTCTTTAGCTATTAGGAGGTTTAGTATACAGAATTTGGGTCAGCTGTTTACCCCTCGTATTTTTTACTTATTTGGGACACTCTGTATCTTGCAAAAATATTTTTAAATTGTAGCTCTAATAGACTGTCAACAAACCCAGAACTTACAATTTGTAAAAATCTAATCATTTAGCTACAATACTCCGCGTTGTATGTGGTGAACAAACCTGTATATACAGGGTGAGTCTTAAATAAGTGCAAATATTTTCAGGGCTGGTAGATCTCGATATAAGAAACATACTTTCACTTTATCGTTTTTCAAATAAGTCCAAAATAACTGATATATATCCTTTGAAAATGCACGAAAAATGAATTTTTGCTTAAATTTTGAGAACCACTCAAACCACTCTGTTCTTTTCTGGATTTTCTTTCTTGTAAATTTAATCTACTACCTGTGCTGCCATATTATCAAGAAATTATGTTTTTAACTAAAATCTAAAAAAATTCCAAATTTTCATTTTTTTTCGCGATTATCTTATCTCATCGGCATCAAAAACGGGCACCTTAAAATTTTCATGTGCCTATTTTAAAGTTTATATATTGTGTTCTAGTTGACCGATTTTGATGATTTTCTAAGCAGTTTGTAGTTAAAAAACTAAATTATTTGAATTTTTAATATCCCTTCCTAAATTAAAAATGAAAGTTTCAATCTGTCAGTTATACGAGGGAAAACAAAATGTTGATATTTTGTGAAAGTTTGAAATGCCCTGTGCAGTATATTAACAAAGCAAGGAATTTAAAAATCATTCTATCATCTGCGTGTATCTTTTCTCGATAGTTTGTTTTTTGGTTCATCTCAATAGCTCTACATACATACATACTGCCATTACTCGCTGACGAGTATTTGACACGCATCAGAAGATGGTCAAGCAAGGCGTTTTCTTTCATGAGCTTTTCTGTGACTGGAAAGTCCGATACGTGATGTTATCTGTCTACTGCACTCCGGACATTCAAGGTGTTAAATTTTTACCAAAATATCAACATTTTGTTTTCCCTCGTGTAATTGACACATGACAAGTTTCATTTTTAATTTAGAAAGAGATATTAAAAATTTAAATAATCTAGCTACAAATTGCTTAAAAAATTATCAAAATCGGTCCACTAGAACACACTATTCTTCTTCTTATCATGCCCTCTCCTGCCGAAGGTTGGCGATCCAAATGGCAATTGTGGCTCTGGAAACTGCAGCCCGGAAGATTTCCGCAGACGGGCGTTCAAACCATCTCCTTAAATGTTTTAGCCATGAGTTCTGGCGTCTTCCTACTGATCTTTTCTCTTGCACTTTGCCCTCTATTATGAAGCGCAGTATTTCGTATCTATCACCTCTCATCACATGACCCAGGTATTGCATTTTTCTTTCCTTGGTGGTGTTCAGTATCTCTTTTTGTGCTGGAGTACTTCATCGTTGGTGATCCTTTGTACCCATGAGATTCACAGCATCCGTCTGTACACATACATTTCGAAGGCTTCTATTCTCTTAGAACACAATATACAAAACTTTAAAATATATAAAAATTTTAAGGCGCCCGTTTTTCGTACCGGTAAGTGTATTTTCACATCTTTTTCGAACACTATTTTCTAAAATTGATATTAAAATGAAAATATTCATCAAATGATGGTAACTTGCAATAGGTAATATTTGACAACTAACAATACTTACACCTATAACTATTATTGTAACTCCACAGAATAATAAAATATTTAGTAGAGTTTGCATTTTATCAACTTGAATCAAACCTGTAAAATAATAAATAAATCTAGCATGTATCCAAAATTGTAATTTTATATAAAATGTAAATGTTGGGTTTTTAATTCAACGTCACCATAATCACACATTATGGTTCATTAGTTAAATTAACAGTTTGGTCATTTATTTTAATTGTAAGGTATAGTTTGTCGGAGTATTTCACAGAATTGTAAATAATATTAAAACGTCATGTTAATTATAATAAGTAATTTAACATTTCAATTAATAGTTTGTCGAAATGTAGGTATAGTGCTAATGTAGAGCTAATGTAGTCAACTTTTATATAGCTGTTTTACCGATTTAACCCGAAATCTGATGTTTCTGTAATTACATCAAATTCAACTTATTTACTATAGAGGGTGAGTTTTCTACGATGTTCTCTATAGGTATCTCGGAAACTATTGGAGCTAGAGAGTCGGTTAAATGGGGAAAGAATTGTAGTTTTGTGAGGACAAACATATGCGCCTTTTGGATTTTTGAAAAAGTTTATGGCTTACTAGCTATTTTGAAAACAATAAATTTTGGCTATTTAAAAAATACTCCGTAATTTTATTATAATCTGCGTCATAGGTGATTAGTCTGTCTGTATTCAGCATTAACAAAAATAATTTTAATTTAAGCCTTATGTTATATTAGGGTATAACAGAACAAACAAAAGTAATACCTCTCACACACTTTTACGCAAGAACATCAAAAAATATTTTTGTTATAGCACTTCATATAATAATAATAGCTCCCGTATATAGCGTTTAACGCCCTGGGAGTAACAAGGTAAAGCTTACCATGCTAGACCCGTTCGGTATACAAGGAAGGTAATGTGGCTAGCACTACGCTTCAACCGCCTATTATTACCTCAGGATTGTGAATCCCAAGTACTCATTTTAAGGCTGAGTCGACCTAGGTACCCAAACTATTTTTATTTTAATAAAAATAGTCGGCTGATGAAATGCCGGGTGTAGGATTCGAACCCACTACCTTGAGATTGGTAGACAAGAGCCTGTATCTCTACGCCATCGCCACCGGGCACCTTCATAACAAATTAAAAACAAAACTAATCAATAATAAACAAAAGATCGAGGGGTGTCTCACTATTGGAGTTACATGTACATTTTCTTGGAAGTCGCTGGCAGTCATTGGCAGTCTCACGGCAGTCACCTATATAATTACATGGCAGTCATAGGCAGTCTTCTTCGCAACCATTGGCAGTACATGTACATTTTTCACCCAAGTGAGACACCCCTCGCAAAAGATGGTCTTTGCTGACATAAATAAAAAATGCTTAAATAGTAAAGTATAATATTCAATATCTGAATATTGAATAATATACAGGATGTTCGATAGGTTTGCTCTATAAATTTTTCTATCGCGATAAAAAAAAAACATAGCGCTTCAGACAAAGCCAAAACTATATCTAAAAATAAAAGCTAGTTTTCAAATGAAAATACTAATTCGAGCGTAAGTGAGACTCATACTACTGGGGTAACTACAGGGGTGCCCGGGGGTGCCCCCTCCCCAGTTATTGCTGGGCACCCCCCAGAGAAATCCTGAATTATGACTCTTGGCTACGTATTAATTTTGATTTGCTTGTGATGCAGTAAAAATGACCGCTAGTTTTCTAGTTTTGTTTAGTTAATATTATTTTGTTGTGTTCAAAAATTTATTTTTTTTAGAAAATTTGTAGTTATTTAAGTAATCTACGGGAACACGGTTTGATAACCAAGTCTATGAAATTTATTGATAGAGAAATTCATGTAAACGTTTTATTAAAAAAATGCTTTTTTAAATTATTTTTCATTAAAAAAAAACAAAAGTCCTAAGCCCCCACTGTGCTCAAACCCAGACCGCCAGGCCCACCCCAGGGTAAATTGTTAGTTACGCTAATGGTGGGACTGAATAAATTCCTAGTATACCTATATTTCTACAGAGTCGCATAGGAAAAAAATTCTTTGTTCCTAGCCATCTTCCAGAAATATGAAAGAGAGTATGTAACAATACGGGCATTTGCCCTCCAAAGTTACACAGAAGAAAAAAAAAATAGGAATCTGGAACATACCCTAGCCCAATTTGCAACATACTTTCATATTTTTTAAGAAGAAATTTAATTTAAGTCTAATATTGTTTAATTAATTATTAAAATATTTATAAATTGTTTTCCCTAAATTACACATAGGAATAGAAAATAGCGCTCTATATTAACAGAGCAATAAACAAATCGGGACTACTCGTCTTGATAACATGTGGCCGCTCTTACCATAGAGAAAAAAATGGCTTGCCATCACTAATAATAAATTAACCCTCATCTGACGTGGTGAGATCTACCGAACCCCCAAACACAACTTAAACTTCTGTTAAATTTTTACGTTTGACATTTAGGCCTCGCCGCGCCATTTACCTATAAGTTAGGGGTAAAGTTACATTGGAGTCCGTGTGGCACCACCACGCCAAGAATGTTTCATTATTAGGACGGTGGGTAATCCAAAAAGTGTGTGTCACGGGGACGCTAATTTTGAGAAAACATTAATTGAGTGGTTTGATAAACTTAAAGAGACTTAGTGATATGAAGATCATCAAGACATTGATTTTTCTCCGGAAGAGTAACTATAACTATGATTCTGAATCTCTTACTTGTAGAAAAAAGAAAACTGAATGATCAGTACCAGAAACGAAAGAGATGTGGTATATGCCAACGGAGAAATGACAAAAAACAAAAATCTCATGAATCAAATGTGCAAGATCCATGTGCGGCAATTGCAAATGCGATGTTAGCATGAACTGTATTTGAAAAAGTTATATACATTCAAAGTTTGCAGTTTTGTTGAAAATAATTTATGTGTCTTACTTTAGCTTCACATTTCAGTTGTTTATACTTTTAGTAACACAGGAATATCATAAAACGTATACGTTTTTAATTTCTACGGATTTCTTAGCCAAGTTATATTTCTGTTGTCAAAAATTACTAAAAAAATGCGTTTTACTTTATTTTTGTATCCGTTCTTATTAATTTATTAAAAATTGTTTGTTTACAAGTTTGAATATATTGTAAACAGTGCTAAAATAACAAACTTTTCATAAAATATCTTCATGGGTTATTTTTAATTAAAAAAAAATTGGGGTCCGTCAGAACCCAGAACGCCATAAGCCGTACAAAAATTCATCATGCCAGTTGAGGGTTAAATATGGATAGCACTTTTTCTCACATTTTTCTTACAAATAGCACGATCAGCTTTACGGCATTTTGGATTTTTCCTTAATATGCGCGTTTGCCAAAGTTTGGTTTGGGGATTTTTTTAAGGGATTTTGTGAAATATTACATAATACCCTTGAAATTTCCGGAAATTCTCTCGAAATTCCCTTGAAATGAAATTCACTGAAATTCCCTCAAAATATCCCGAAATTCCCCGAAATACACAAAAATTTCTCAAAATGCCTTAAAATTCCTCTGCAATTCCTTTCGTTTGTTCACTAAAATACCCCAGTGATTTCCTCTTCGGTCGGATCAAAAATTTATAAATAAACTGAAAAAATAATGCAATAAAACCTTTATTTTATATAAGAAAGTACCATAGAAATGAAAAATTCGGTTCTCTTCCTAACTACTCTTCACTTTATGGAAACATTTGATCATATCATAAGCAGTTTGTTCTAGATCTTCTTGAACAACATAACACTTTTCCAGCATAGAATCTATGGTAGCTTCATCAGGCAGAAGTTTCAGCATATGCTCTTTCAGAATATCTTTGTGGTATGCTCCGGCTTCGTCGATTACTCCTTGTTCCATCTTGACACAAACCAGTTGTTTTTTAAATTCGGGAGCGTCAGTAAATTTGCCAGCAAACGCATCTAGAACCATCTCTGCTGTTGCTCCAGTTTTTTTCAAACAGTTCTGTTGGACTTCTATCACAGTCTTTTTTTGTTCCGGAGTAAGATTCTAGAAATGTCAAAAATGTAAATACCGTGTATTTCAAATGGGGATATATGACTGGTTATATCAATTGCGTGCATATATAGGTTAATTCAGAGTACTTTTTACAAATATAGAGAGTTCTGCAGGGTGTCCCCCCAAAAAAATATATCAAAGTTGTGTTTTTTGTAATGGAACACCCTATATATTAATTGATTTTCGGATTCTGGGAGAAAAGTAAAGGTGAGTTTTATAAGAGAAGTATATGACTTAAATGTAAGGTTTTTGACATATTTAAAATTTTCGAGAAATAAAGAACAATTTTTAAATTACAATAAAAGCTACCTAAATTGGAACTTACCCGGTATAGCCTAATATGTAGTGAAATTAACTATTGTACTTAAATCAAATTAAAACTTGGTTCAAAAAGTTATACAGGGTGAGACAAAATTAATATTAAATATTGTACGTTCGATACTTTATTATTTACTGTACGTTTATTTTATTTTAAATGGAACACCCAGTAGATTATTCCGATATTCAATGAAGAATTCATGTCTCTTTAAAATACTATTCTATTAAGGTTACCTACCCCTTAAACAAAGATTATTTTAATTTTCATGATTTGATCTGAATAGATCTTTATTATTTGATAAAATCTAGGTGGCTGTGATATTTATGTCTGAAGTTACTTCAATATAGCTGTTTAATTAGTCCAAGTTTAACAACTAGTTATCATTTTGTGTCAGTTAAAACAAAAAAAAAATTCTCAGAAATTTGCCGAAAATGCAAACTTATCCTACATCAGAGAGAATTGATATGATTCTGTTAGTTGGTAAATGCAGTGTGCATTCACCAATTAATAGAATACGTAAATGCTTCTGATTTTATCTAGTGTGGTTTTTTTACGACGATATGTTAAAGACAGTGTTTACAAAACTCGACCAACATTATCGACGACATGAGAGAATTTATTGTAGCTGCTTTTCGACGTAGAACTCCACATATGTCTTTTAAAATGAAAAGATTCTTTTGAAAAGGCAACCATTTTATGCAGTTAACAGGAAAGGAAGCATTTGAGTTCATCTAGCTAATTTTTGTCACATAATTATAGGTTTATATCTAGTTTTAATTCTGTAATAGTTAAAATATGTTTTAAACGTGTATCTTTTTATTACCGTTGAATATTTTACTCTACAATCTTTAATTTTTGTTTTGGTTTGGTTTGTCTCTCCCTAGATTTTTTTCAAATAATAAAGTTCTACTGACGCAAGATCATAAAAATTAAAATATCTAGGTAAATCTTTGTTTGAGGGGTAGGCAACCTTAATAATATTTTGAAGATATATAAATTCCTCATTGAACATCGGAAAAATATACTGGCTGTTCCATTTAAAATAAAGGAGTAACTTGCTTTTAATAGTGACTAATGTTCCATATTAATTTTGTCTCACCCTGTATAACTTTTTGAGTCAAATTTCGACTTGGTTTAACATACAATGGTTACTGTAATTAGATGTTATTGAATTATTTAATGGTTACTGTAATTAAATGTTTTGTTTAAAAAAATCGTTACCATGACAAATATTCAAATTTTATAAGTATCATTAGACTTTACTTGTGAAATTTCTAAAATTGTAATTGTTACGAAATTTTTGAATCTAGACTAATGATAGAATTATTATTTTTTTAAATAACTCTTTTTAAATAAAAGGAGGGTTTAGGTAGGAACATGATATATCTTTGAAAAGCTTTTTATTAGTCTTCTGATTTTTTAAGTAATACACATAAGGTTCAATTTAAAAAAAAAACAAAGATTGGAGCAATTTTATAACAAACAAAAATATTTTTTTGGCTGTCATGTGTGCTTTTGTGTAATATCTAATAAGTTGATTTAGACAGGTGAAATATATTGACTTTCGTTAACTTATAATCCAAATTTCAAGTTCTGAAATGTTGTGTTCATGATTTTACCAATACTTATTCAAAATCAAAATATTTTATTTATTATCTCAAAAAATGTTTTAGGTAGATATAGGTTAGTATATTAGGTAAATTATATGATATGAAAGTAGTTTTCAAAAATGTAATAATATACCGTGTATGTTGTTTAATCCGTTATATATGTATGTTTCATTTAAAATAAGAAAAATGCTACCACTTTTTCAATGATGTGGCAAAATTGTAATAGGCACTGAAAATATTTTAGACAGATGAAGCGGGCGCCTTTATGTAAAAATCCAAATTTTCAAAAAATTTCATCACCGGTTCTCCATAAACGTGTAACGTGATATGGTCGTGAATCACCATATACATGGTGGGTCTTAAAAAAGTGCAAACATTTTCAGGGCTAGTAGATCTCGATAAAAGAAACATATTTTCTCTCTACCGATTTTCAAATAAATCCAAGATAACCGAGTTATTTTACTTCGAAAATTTATTTGCTTAAATCTTGAGAACCACTTGATCTTTTATGGGGTTTCTTTCTTGTAAATTTAATCTACTACCATATTATCAAGAAATTATATTTTTTAACTAAAAACTAAAATATTTTCCAAAATTTTTTTAAAAAAATTTCAAATTTTCAAAAAAAAACTTTGCGAAAAAAACTCATAATCATGTTTCCGAGGTCGAAATATACTGCCCCTATAAATATAATAAATATATATAAATATTATAAAATAAAAAGTTATAGGGATGAGCCATTTTTGAGACCGCACCCGGTATACAAACATACATATTATATTTAATTCATTTTCGACTACTGAATTATCGCGCAATGCCCATATAAAATTGACTATAAAGGCGCTCCATTATGAATTACGCGGCGCGGTTTGATTTACTTTATATTGTCTGTAATGGGATATTAAAAGCTGCATTGTACGAATTGCATTGTACGACTCTTGTACGTACCCTTAAACCAACGTGTAAGAAAGAGATAGAATAAGGAAGTAAGGTGTGATTTAATTTCATCGGCATTCGTTTAACCCCCTGTAGCTACGTAACGAAGCAGAATCAGACCTATGTTGATATGAAAAATAAATCTTATTTTAGATGGGGAATCGACTCACGAGAGATGGCACATGTTTTATGAAACACCCTGTATGGTTTAAAAAAATCTGAGGATAAAATAATGTTTGTGTCGTATATTCTCAATCAAATAGCAATGTTTATGCCTCCTTAAAACCGAATCCAATTTTTCGTGTAAATTCGAGACTAGAGCATTATTTAAATTATTTTTTTTTAAATCAAAAAGCATAGAAAACCTCTTTCTGGATAAAAAATAACGAGATATAGAGCCATTACCTTTCGGGATGTAAATCGATTTTTCTCATTAAATTATTTGGCTAACGAGTTTAGCACATTACAACACCGAATAATGAACTAAAATCAATTTTGAACTGAAATTCAAGTACTATTTATGCCAATTATGAGAACAGAGAATATAATATATTATACGCTTTGTTGAATACTCTATGGACGTATTAAATAAACTAAACTAGATTTTTGATCTATATTATAAATTTTAATTGGATATGTAGATAATAATTATATCAAAATATAGTATTACCACAAATTACCTTATTACTTATAGTAAAATAAATTAAAACTATTAATTAAATATTACACGAAGCCTGTAACAATTTTATGATATACATATATATAAATATATTTTTACTATTAAGATTGTCTTGAACTTTAATTCGTTTAAAAAATTAATAAAATTTATTTTAAGGATATTTATTAACAATTGCTACTACATGAACATAACTATTATATTTTTAAAGTTGAAATACAAAAAAAATACTATAGATAGAATACTAAATAAACTTTTAGTCACGTGATTAAGCTTGACCGGCACACCGTTGCCCAATATTACAAAATTTCTTTTAATCAAAATATTTTAGGAAACAAAAATAAATTAATTATAATTATATAAACAGTTGTTATTTACAACAAAACTCATCACCTTAACAGTACTTAAGAGGCATAAAGCTGCTTTCCCATTACTACCGCTTTCCCGTTCAAAATATTCTAATAATTTTGCGATGAGTTTTTTGCAACGGCTATCTTTTGCCCACTTCGCACTAAAGGAGGTTCACAAAGAACAATGTTCGACTGCACGGTCTACTAGTAAAAAAGTTTTAAGCATAAAGTATCACAATATGATTCATTTAAACCAAACACTCGTATACAAAACTAAAGCGTCAAAACAAATGAAAATGTCAGGAAATAAATAAATAAATAAATGTGGTACCACCAGAATCCCCAGCGAGTAATTTAAATTCCAGTTTGTCAGGTTGGCAAAAATGTATTTAAAAATCGCGCCCTCGATTGTGTAACTAAAAATTTAACTGATATTGGTTGTATATCAACATTACTGCAGAAACTTAACACTGATAAAATATATCATGAAAACAGTTATTTAATTTTTAAAGCCCTTTATATACTTACGCAGGTTCCATAAGCAAAATAAGACATCAAAAGGAATACTACAATGTTTCTCATTGTGGACTAATTCTTCAGGATCTTACACAGATAACAACTAAATTTGGACTTGTTAGTTCATCTTATATAGCAAATTTATGTTCTGTCCCATATTTCGCATAATTATCCTAGCGAAGCTAATAACATCCTAACTTTTAAATGTAATGAAACCACTAATTTTTGAAATTTTTTGGCAAAAAAAAACTTAATAACATGTGGAAAATATATCTATAACAAATAGAAAAAAAACAAAACAAAAACATCATGTACAAACGAAATATAAACAAATAGGTAGGTTAGTCTCTATTAAGAGAACTAACTATTTAGTCTCTATGAAGAATTATTTAAAAAAAGGGGGGGGGGTAATTAACGATCGTATTATGATTATTATAAAATTATTATAGTGTTTAATTAAATTATAAGTGTATTTCGCCACATTTTTATGTTTAAATATTTATAGGTTTTTGTCTCTTTATACAGGGTGGTCCGAAATGTATTCCGGAAACTTCAGCAGCAAATTCTGTAGATAAAAATAAGTTAAAAAGTTCTTATAAATGTATGTCTAAAATGCTTAGTTTCGGAGATACAGGGTGTAGAAGTTTTATTTTTATTTCGATTTTTTCCAAATAATTTCTGAAGTAACGTCAATATTTGGATAAAATTTGGTGTCTGGGAGTTTTTTGATATGAGAAATTCGATTTTGATGTTAACATGACTCCTACTTGTAGCCACCTACATATTTTTAACTAGTTTGAAGAGTAATAACTTTTCGTCCGTACCTGCATAAAATTATTAAGTAAAAAAATATATATTTAGGACGTTTTTGGGGTTGGGGGGTTTTGGAAAAACTATTTTAAGAGAAGGGGGAGAGACAAAGTTAATTGTCCAAAAACATAGTTTTCAGGTGGGGATATTTGAAGTTTCTATAGTCCTAGGCCCTAGGTATTGTAGTTGAAGAGTTTTAGGGTGTCATTAGGGATGGTACCAATTTTCTCGTAGCACTTCAAGGCACGATCTCAAATATATTTGGGGATGGGATCGATGCGGATTTCTAATTAAAAAATATAGCATTTCAGATTTCAATCTAGCAATGCTGCAACAACGAATTGACTCGAAATACCAAGTATGTGGTACCAAATTATTCCGTAAAAAATGCATTTTCCACATATGGTAATGAGCCATCCTCATTCCATTTGAATAAATTGAGTTATAATTATTAAAAATACGATTTGGGCATATTTAACCAGACCAGGAAAAGAAACGAAAAACAGTTGATGATCAAATATATTTTTCCACAGCTCCTTGATTAAAAATGAATGATTGGAATGAATGGAATTTCCTTCTAAAGCATGCCGCGCACTTGTGCAAAGCGCGGAGAATATTTGATTTTTCGTACGGCGTTGGGTATTTAAAGTTGTTTTGAGATGACCCTTTCAATTTTAATATTATCTCTGTGACGGTTTGATAAAGGTTCATTAAAACTCCATTATGTCCTCAAGTTCCAGCAGCAGTTCAGAGGGAGATTTCCTTATTTTATGTACAATAGCTGAAGAAGAAATGTGTGAGAACAAAAGTAGAAAATCTTGGATTCATAACATTAATATAAAAAGAAATGCGTACGGAGAATTTCACCTTCACTAAGATTTGCTGGAAGATGAAAGAACAATTTAAAATTTTTAAGTATTATAGAATGACCCACGAGAAATTTGCTCAATTTCTTTCTTTGTTAAGACCAACTAAAAAGCGCCAAATTTCTATTCTATTGGTCTCAGGCAAGTTTTAATAATGTCTAAATAAAATTAATAGAGAACTGGTTGCTTGGCTTGAGTCATCGGACGTACCAGGTGCGTCTCAAAAATGGCTCACCCCTATAACTTTTTATTTAAGTTATAGAGGTGAGCCACTTTTGAGACGCAGCCGGTATAACATAAATTTAATTCATTGCCGCGCTTCGCATAAGGGCGCGATATGCGTTTGTACACTCACTGATAAAACCGGAGCCGGTTCCGGTGCTAGAATCTATTGCATTCCAAATAAATTAGCTCTTTCACATATGCTCCGATCCGATAAATTAGGCTGTCCCACAGCATATGCCGACAAACAAAATAGAATTAACGAAAATTGTCATCGCGTGAGAAAAGTTGCAAGTCACCGGCGCGGCATCGGCACTGGCCTCGGTGTTCACCGGCACAGGTGACATAGCCAAAGGATCTTATTGCACGGTTTGCTTTGCGTAATGCTGCACAATCATTTTAGCTGTAGATTTCAAATGGGTGGGTTGTAATGCGCAGCAACCGCTCGTACCTTTTCTTTATGTGAACACACTTATTTGAAATCTACAGCTAAAATTATTTTGCCCCTTTAAGCGGACACCCTTCAAGCGGCATAGCGCAAAGCTTACCGCTCGAGCGCGGGCGGTGTCAGTATGAAGGCGTACTTATACGTTTGTTCATGAAAAATATGTATTAAGACGTTACAACTCTTTTTATGATCTGTATTATCAAAATAGAACAAAAATTATACATACATACATACAGCCATTACTCGCTGACGAGTATTCGACACACATCAGAAGATGGTTACGCAAGGCGTTTTCTTTCATGGGCTTTTCTGTGACTGAAAAGCCCGATACGTGATGTTATCTGCCTACCGCACTCCGGACATTCAAAAATCTCATTGGTTTGTTGCCTCTTTACTTTTTGGTTGTCGCTGTTAACTGAGTTTACAACTCTTCTCCATTGAGTTCTATTGTGAGCTGCTTCTTCCCATTCATTCTGCATGTTAATCCCCTTTAAGTTTTTGTGGAAAATGTCCTTGTACCTTTTCAGTTGTCCACCCGGCCTCCTCTTACCGTCTACAAGCTCACCGTAAAGCAGAGATTTTGGTATGCGATTTTCTTGCATTCTGCATACGTGACCAGCCCATCTTAAGCGGGATTTTGTAACCATGACTTCAATACTCCCGCAGTTAGCTTTTTCAAGGACCGAAACGTTTGAGACATGATGGAACCACCGGATTCATAAGAGTTGTCTAGGGTGTCTCTGTTGCAACTTGTTTAATGCGTTCATGTGTCGGCGGTACGGCACTTATGTTTCACTCCCATATAACATGGTGGGGATTATAATTGCTCGGTATACTGCAAGTTTCTTTTTTGGTACACAAGTCATGATTGTAGAAAACCCTGTCTTTTAATTTCCAGAATGCTCCTGAGGCGCTGCTAATCCTGTGCTGAATTTCAGAGTCAATATTGGCCTTTTCCGAAATTAAACTGCCGAGGTAATTGAATTCCGCCACATATTCCAATAGTTCTTCTCCGATTTTTATAGCATTGTTGTAATCTTCCGGGGGAGTGCACATGATTTTAGTTTTGTCGATGTTTAGCTTAAGGCCCAAAGCCTCGTATGCCCAGGTATATGTGTTCAACATTTCTTGTAATTGTTGTACTGTGTTTACAACTAGAGCGCAGTCATCGGCGTATTGCAGCTCTGTGATGAATTTTGTATGTGTTTTTGCCCTGAGTCTTTTTATATTGAACAGACCGCCGTCGTATCTGTACCTAATGCCCAATCCTCTCTCCTGCAGTTTGCTGTCCACTATAATGGAGAGTGCTGCCGATTACCACTATAATGGAGAGGCGCTAAGACACATCCCTGCCTAACTCCTGTATTTGTTAGGAATGGGTCGCTCAGTGATCCATGATGTGACACTCTTGACTTGTTGTTGTTATGGAGGCTTTTACACACTGTAAGAAATTTGTTGGGTACCCCGAACTTTTCCATAACTGCCCAAAGCTCATCTCTGTTCACAGAGTCGAAGGGATTTGTTAGATCGATGAATGCAACATAAAGTTTAGACTGCTGCTCTTTTACTTTTTCCTGTAGTTGGCGGATGGAAAATATGGAATCGACGGTGCCGCGGTTGGTACGAAAACCCGTTTACGATTCTGGAAGGATTTTTTCTATATATAGGTGCAGGCGGTTTGACATAATTTTTGCAAGAATTTTTCCGCCGATAGCCATTAGTGAAATTCCCCGGTAATTTCCGCAGTCTGTTGCACTTCCTTTGTTCTTAAATATATTCACTATATTCGCGTTGCGAAAGTCCTGATGTACCTATTCACTTTCCCATGCGACATCGAAGAAAGCCAAATTAAACAAGCTAGAACCACTAAAACAAAAATTATGTCAGGTGACAAACATATTCTAAAGAATAAAGTACTTAAAATATTTCTCAACTTAGTATTTTGGTCAGTAGCCTGCCCCAATAGCGCCGTGTAGATACGCAAGTATATCGTGTCGTGCTCATATTGTAGGTAATACGCATTTTATATTATACAGGGTGAGTTTCCTATGGGTATCTCGGAAACAACTGGAGATAGAGAGTCAGTTAAATGGGGAAAGAATTGCAGTTTTGTGGGGACACAAATATGCGCTTTTCGGATTTTTGAAAAAGTTCATGGCTTCCTAGTTATTTAGAAAAAAACAAATCTCGGCTATTTTAAAAATTATCCATAATTCCATTATAATCTATTTTAGACAAAAAGTTATAAGATAAAAGTTGTAGATAATCACATCCATAATGAGATTGTGTCATCCGCTTTTTTCTAAAGCCTGTTATTTTTGACACATGATACAAATATATGTTTTTATAAATGGAAACCATAGTTGGCCATGACTTCATAAAAAGCGCCATTTTTTAAGCTTTTTAGTGATATAAGCTATAATATGGATTTTTCGAAAAATGACTGAGTTATAGCCAATTCTTATCATTTTTAAACAATTTCACTTAGTTAGCCGAGGAAACAAGTTCAATCGCCGTTGCTCTCAGAAATGAGAAGCTGTCACATCCAAACTTGGTAAATTAAAATAAATAAAAATTGTAAATATGAATTTTTCAAATGAAGAAAATCGCATCAATATAGTGGTTTCAACATGACTTTCATTATGACTCCCCCCCCCCTAATGAAAGAAATGTGAAAACTTATTTATACCAATGCAAACTCAGGGATAGGAAGAGGTGGACCAATTACATGGGCCTCCTCCGATCA